GGGAGTAACGTGCGCGTCTTTAGGATCGGGGAGCGGGAAGACCGAAGCGGGTGCTATTTTTAGCAGTATATAAATGCATCCTGAAACGGACGCATGAGTGTCTTCTTTTGCGTAATTCACGTGGAACGTTTCATGCTTCTTTAGGGATAAGTATTCAGTAAAAACCTGAGTTTCCGTCCTCTTAGTGACAGTGATTTGTGCGGAGAGGCTCTGTAACGCTTAATGCGACTTTGCCGATAACCCCCTCAAGTGGTCGAGGCAGTGTGCTTGCAAAGTCTGATCTCACTTCGTCGCGACAAAAATCCAAATTCCGTTGTTGTTGTCTCCATGTGCCACTACTACTCATAAGAAGCATGTTGGTGTTGTGAGACCGGCAGTACCGTCGAGAGATGACAGATTTCTTCGAAGGGGATGCAAGTGACAAATCAAGATGTTAGCACATAAGACAGTCCGTTTACCCAGGTTCGGGCTCTCCCTAGGGAGGTAACACCCTTCTCCTGCCTCTGGTGATTGTATTGCATGATTGCTCACGACGGTCGATGTTTCTTGTGTTACAAGCTCGGACATGGCAGCGGACAAGGAGGAAGATGAGGGGTAGGTGAAAAATCCTAGGCAGATGGCTCTCGAATGCCATGTCCCTCTCCTGGTTCCTATCCTAGCTCAATTATATACTGGGTCGAGCTAGGCTTACATGAGTCGGTCCAGTCCAAGATGGGCTTACACCACTAGAACGGCCTGGACCAACCCTGTCGGTGCTCTCGGACTAGCAGTACCCAGGCCAGTCTGCCTGCGGCCCATCGTGTGGCATCGTCAAAGGCCCGGTATGGCCCAACGTCAAGACTTCGCGAGGGCCCCCGCCTTACGACGCGAACTACATGAGGGCCCCCCGAGGGCCCCCCATCGGGCGGTCTCCCGAGGTTACCTCATGAGGCTCTCCCAAGGGGCGGATACTTCTAAGCTCGCCACCTAGCCTCACGAGGCGCGTGGTGATGTAAGCCATGATGAGCGGAGCCAGGAGGGCGCCAGCGGGTGCAGGCAAGGACACTTTCCTCTTTGGTGCTAAGGAGGCAATGACATGCGCATAAGAAGCATGTTGGTGTTGTGAGACCGGCAGTACCGTCGAGAGATGACAGATTTCTTCGGAGGGGATGCAAGTGACAAATCAAGATGTTAGCACATAAGACAGTCCGTTTACCCAGGTTCGGGCTCTCCCTAGGGAGGTAACACCCCGCTCCTGCCTCTGGTGATTGTATTGCACGATTGCTCACGACGGTCGATGTTTCTTGTGTTACAAGCTCAAACGTGGCAGCGGACAAGGAGGAAGATGAGGGGTAGGTGAAAAATCCTAGGCAGATGGCTCTCGAATTCCATGTCCCTCTCCTGGTTCCTATCCTAGCTCACATTATTTACTCGGTCGAGCTAGGCTTACATCACTCGGTCTAGTCCAAGATGGGCTTACACCACTAGAACAGCCTGGACCAACCCTGTCGGTGCTCTCGAACTGGCGGTACCCAGGCCAGTCTGCCTGCGGCCCATCGTGTGGCATCGTCAAAGGCCCGGTATGGCCCAACGTCAAGACTTCGCGAGGGCCCCCCACTTACGACGCGAACTACACGAGGGCCTCCCGAGGGCCCCCCGTCGGGCGGTCTCCCGAGGTTACCTCACGAGGCCCTCCCAAGGGGCGGATACTTCTAGGCTCGCCACCTAGCCTCACGAGGCGCGTGGTGATGTAAGCCATGACAAGCGGAGCCAGGAGGGCGCCAGCGGGCGCAGGCAAGAACACTTTCCACTTTGGTGCTAAGGAGGCAAGGACGTACGCGGGTTCCCAAGGAATCCCTCAAAGGTTGCCATTCCGGTGCAACGAGACTAAGACCACGGATGTCGGGGCGAAAGTCATCACTGAGCCCACCTACGTGTCACGACCAGAAGCTTTGCAGGTGAAGACCACTGTTAGTCAGGATAGGATGTACTCATGTCCCCCTTGAAATTGGTCGCAGTGATATCCCTTCCCGCCTAGAGCTTTGGGGAAGAAGACCGAGGCCAGTATAAGTATAGGTTAGTCTCGACCGTAGAAGGATCGAGTCTTGGCATCCCTAGAGATCGATCCTAGAGCCCCCCTGAGGCAGTTACCCCTTGTATGAGTTCATACTCATCCTCCTCGCAAGGCAATCCACCACAAAGCAGGAGTAGGGTATTACACCGCAAGGTGGCCCGAACCTAGTTAATCTCGTGTTCCTTTCCTCTCCCGATCGCTCAAGCATGACGGAGCTAGGCGTGAGGCAGTGGGCAGCAAGCCATAGCCTAGCGGAGTCCTTCGCGCACACCCCAAAGTTCGAAACTTGTTTTGGGTCCGCGGAGTGATATGTCCATTTTGCATCATGCTTTTATATTGATATTTATTGCATTATGGGCTGTTATTACACATTATGTCACAATACTTATGCCCATTCTCTTATTTTACAAGGTTTACGTGAAGAGGGAGAATGTCGGCAGCTGGAATTCTGGGCTGGAAAAGGAGCAAATATTAGAGACCTATTCTGCACAACTCCCAAAGTCCTAAAACTTCACGGGAGCACGTTGCAGAATATATAAAAAATATTGGGCAAAAGAAGTACCAGAGGGGGGCCACCCACCATCCACGAGGGTGGGGGCGCGCCCTACCCCCTAGGCGCGCCCCCTACCTCGTGGGCCCCCTGGCAGCCCTTTGATGCCCATCTTCTGATATATGAAGTCTTTCGTCTGGGAAAAAATTATAAGCTAGCTCATGGGACGAGACTCCGCCGCCATGAGGCGGAACCTTGGCGGAACCAATCTAGGGCTCCGGCGGAGCTGTTCTGCCGGGGAAACTTCCATCCGGGAGGGGGAAATCACCACCATCGATCCTCTCATCGGGAGGGGGTCAATCTCCATCAACATCTTCACCAGCGCCATCTCATCTCAAACCCTAGTTCATCTATTTTATCCAATCTTTGTATCAAAACCTCAGATTGGTACCTGTGGGTTGCTAGTAGTGTTGATTACTCCTTGTAGTTGATGCTAGTTGGTTTATTCGATGAAAGATCATATGTTCAGATCCTTTATGCATATCAATACCCCTCTGATTATGAACATGAATATGATTTGTGACTAGTTAAGTTTGTTCCTGAGGACATGGGAGAAGTCTTGCTATAAGTAGTCATGTGAATTTGGTATTCGTTCGATATTTTGATGAGATGTATGTTGTCTCTCCTCTAGTGGTGTCATGTGAACGTCGACTACATGACACTTCACCATTGTTTGGGCCTATAGGAAGGCATTGGGGAGTAATAAGTATATGATGGGTTGCTAGAGTGATAGAAGCTTAAACCCTAGTTTATGAGTTGCTTCGTAAGGGGCTGATTTGGATCCATATGTTTCATGCTATGGTTAGGTTTACCTTAGTACTTCTTTTGTAGTTGCGGATGCTTGCAATAGGGGTTAATCATAGGTGGGATGCTTGTCCAAGGAAGGGCGGTACCGAAGCACCGGTCCACCCACATATCAAATTATCAAAGTATCGAACGCGAATCATATGAACATGATGAAAACTAGCTTGACGATAATTCCCATGTGTCCTTGGGAGCGCTTTCCTTTATATAAGAGTTTGTCCAGGCTTGTCCTTTGATACAAAAAGGATTGGGCCATCTGGCTGCACCTTATTTACTTTATTTACTTGTTACCCATTACAAATTATCTTATCACAAAACTATCTATTACCGATAATTTCAGTGCTTGGAGAGAATACCTTACTGAAAACTGCTTATCATTTCCTTCTTCTCCTCGTTGGGTTCGACACTCTTACTTATCGAAAGGACTACGATAGATTCCATACACTTGTGGGTCATCAAGACTCTTTTCTGGCGCCGTTGCCGGGGAGTGAAGCGCCTTTGGTAGGTGGAATTTGGTAAGGAAAATTTTATATAGTGTGCTGAAATTTACTGTCACTTGTTACTATGGAACATAATCCTTTGAGGGGCTTGTTCGGGGTATCTTCACCCCGACCAGTAGAGCAAAGAGTTGCTCAAACTACTGAACCTACTGAAAATGTTTACTTTGAAATTCCTTCGGGTATGATAGAGAAACTGCTAGCTAATCGTTTCACAGGTGATGGAACATTACATCCCGATTTGCGCCTAATATATGTGGATGAAGTTTGTGGATTATTTAAGCTTGCAAG